ATGATTTGTGGAGAGGAATAAGACCATCGTACAAACATTTGCGAGTGTGGGGGTATCTGGCAAAGGTAGTTGTACCTCCACTAAAGGAAATACAAAATTGGACCTAAGACATTGGATTTCATTTTTATTTGCTATGCACAAAATAGCAATGCTTATCAATTCTTGGTGCATAATTCGGAAATTTCGGATATACACAAGAATACGCATTATGCAATCTAGAAATGCATATTTTATGAAAATATATTTCTTTGTAAGAGTAAAGATGAAGGCAGTTCATCAAAACAAACTCATGAAAAAGATCAAGATTCGATTGAGGTTCTAGATGTTGAACCGAGACAAAGCAAAAGAGCAAGAGTGGAAAAATCATTTGGTGATGATTTCGTAACTTACTGCTTGAAAAAGTACCATTGACTTATGCTGAAGCAGTGACTTCTTCAAAGGGACCTTTATGGGAAGAAGCGATAAAAAGTGAGAATGATTCAATTTTACAGAATCACACTTGGGAGCTTGTGGATCTACCACCTGAAAGTAAACCATTAAGATCCAAATGGACTTTTAAGAGGAAAATGAAACTTGATGATTCCATTGATAAATAGAAGGCCAGGCTTGTGATTAAAGGGCATAAGCAACGAGAAGACTTAGACTACTTTGATACATATTCTCCCGTGAAGAGAATAACTTCAATAAGAATGATACTTGCCATTGCAGCCTTATGGAATTTGGAAATGCATCAAATGGATGTTAAGACAGCTTTCTTAAATGGTGAGTCAGATGAAGAAATCTATATGGAGCAACCTGAGGGTTTTCAAGCTCCTGGAACTGAAAAGAAAGTCTGTAAACTAGTAAAGTCTTTGTATGGTCTGAAACAAGCACCGAAAAAGTGGCATAAAAAGTTTGACCATGCAATGATCACTAGTGGATTCAAAATCAATGAGTATGAAGGAGATAGAAAATGACTATGTCATTTTATGTCTATATGTAGACAATATAGTCATTGTTGGTAGTAATGACAATTTGGTCAAATCTACTAGGAACATGTTGAATTCTAAATTTGACATGAAAGATATGGGTATAGCTGATGTGATGGGTGTTAAAATCATAAGAATAACAGATGGTCTAGTTTTGAGTCAAGCTCATTATATAGACAAAATTCTTGATAAGTTTAACAAGAATGATTCTGGAGTTGCAAAAACACCATTAAATAATAGTGTCCAGTTATCCAAAAAATTGTGGACAGGGCATATCTCAATTGGAGTACTCTCGGATAATAGGAGTCTGATGTATCTAATGAGTTGTACTAGACTAGATATTGCTTATGTTGCACGCAAGTTAAGTTCATATACGAGTAATCCAAGGGTTGAGCACTAGACTGCAATAATTAGAGTACTAAGGTACCTGAGACATACTCGTGACTATGGATTGCATTATACCTAATATCATCTGTTTTAGAAGGATATGCAGATACTAATTGGATATCTGATACAAAGGACTCAAGCTGTACAAGTGGCTACGTTTTTACACTAGCTGGCGCAGCCGTGTCATGGAAATCCTCAAAGCAAACTGTAATAGCCAGATCCACAATGGAATCTGAGTTTATTGCGTTAGATCAGTGTGGCGAAGAAACTGAATGGCTACGCCAATTTTTGGAGGATAACGTGGTAGAGACCTGTGCCACCTATTGTTCTACATTGTGATAGGCAATCAGCGATTGGAAGGGCACAAGTACTATGTATAATGGTAAGTCGAAACATATTCGTCGTCGACATAATACCATTAACAATTCCTCTCAACAGAAATTATCACAATTGACTACGTGAAGTCAAAAAATAATATTGCGGATCCGCTAACCAAAGGGTTAAATAGAGAGGCAGTTGAAAATTTGACAAAAGAAATGGGTGTAAAGCCTATGAAAAGGTAAAGTCTTTTCAAGGAAAAACCCAACCTAGTTGACTGGAGATCCCAAGATCTAGGTTCAAACGGACAACCTAATCTTAAGACTTAGTGTGGTCACTGTGGGGGAAAATCTCAACTCTTTCTTGTCATGAAACAGTGATATAATGGAATTAATAGCAGATGGTTCCTTTAATAACACTTAAGTTAGTTATAAAATTTGCTCTAGACTTAAGAAGTCACCTATGTGAAAGAGAAGTGGGGCCGCTTCAAAGGAGAACTTGCGAGGCTTAGTACTTTAGAAACTCTCGCAGAACCAAGACGTGTTAATGGCCAAAATGAATAACATCATAAGAACAGAATGACAAAAAGGAATGGTTCATGTGTATAGTACGTGGGTTTTTTTACACACTACAGTCGGACAGTTCAAGGACATCGCGTCTACTGGACAACTAGTAAAGCAAGCATACTTTGCAAGGAGGAAGTTTAAAGAGTAGCATCTACTTTTTCCCCATGTAGGGATCAGTCAATGAACACCATTACTAATTCGAAACAATATCTCATTCATGTAGGGCATTGTTTCAATTTGAGCAAGTGTGAATGAGGAATTGGTGTCTCATTAATTGGAAAATGAAATTAGAGACTACATGAAAGGTATGAAGCCTTTGATTTCATGAGTACGTCAGACCTGATCAACCCGAGTCATTAACCTATCTTGATTCATTTTCCAAGTAGATGTAGAGTTCTTGCAGATTCATTTGAATGAACTAAATTCATGAATCAATATTAATGAGATGTTAGGGGGATGAATGTTCATATTTATAGTTAGATTAAGTTCATGAATGGAACCTCTTTGGTTTTGGTGAAACATTGTATCTAACTATGTTAATTCAAATTGTTGGGTAAATACTAAGAATAGTGTTTTTGAAATGGCAAGAATAAGAGGTTGACAAATTAAGGGGAAATTCAAGGCTCGTGAAAGACACGATTTCCTTAAGACAGATTAGCCATCTCCCGAATGTGCAAGAGATTTAGTGAGCTTCTATCTCCCAGGATACAACGAATCCGTAAAGATTCCTTTGCACTAAAGGTCTTCACCAGTGAACTAGAACTTTAGAACTCAAAGAACACCAAAGGAAATAGGCTAGAAAGGCTCAGAAGAAAGCTTAGAAAGCTTTGGAAATTTGGAGAGGTATGAAGCCTTTGAGTTCATGAGTGCGTCAGACCTGATCAATCCGAGTCATGAACCTATCTTGATTCATTTTCCAAGTAGATGAAGAGTTCTTACAGATTCATTTGAATGAACTAAATTCATGAATCAATATTAATGAGATGCAAGGAGGATGAATGTTCATATTCACAGTTAGATTAAGTTTATGGATGGAACCTCTTTGGTTTTGGTGAATCATTGTATCTAACTAAGTTAATTGAATTAACTTGGAAAAATGAATTGAACAATTCTACTACTTCAAGTAACTCTTCACCTATAAATAGTGGCTCATTCTCAACAAACGAATCATCCAATGTTCCAAAGCTTTCTAAGCTTTTTTTCTTCTTAGCCTTTCCAGCTTATTTCCTTTGGTGTTCTTTGAGTTCTAAAGTTCTAGTTCGCTGGTAAATTCCTTAGTGCAAAGGAATCTTTACGAATTCGTTGTATCTTTGAAGATAGAAGCTCACTAAATCTCTTGTACATTCAGGAGAAGGTTAATCTGTCTTAAGGAAATCTTGTCTTTCACGAGTCTTGAATTTCCCCTTAATTTCTCCCTCTTTTATTCTTGTTATTTCAAATACACTATCCTTAGTATTTACCCAACAAATTTGTCTTAGGGAAAAAAAAATATATCTCGAGGAATATGTAATGCAACCAGATTAAGAATTTATGAGTAGCTATCAGGTATGATAAGGTATTTTTTTTATTTTAGATCACCCTATTTTAATCTAAATAGTTGTACTAGTTTTCACGATCCGACGGTAATTAATATTAACTGGACTATTCAGTCGACTGAACCATAGTCGCTATATATATATATATATATATATATATATGGGTAGCTATCAGGTATGATAAGGTGTTTCTTTATTTTAGATCACCCTATTTTAATCTAATAGTTGTATTAGTTTTAACGATCCGACGGCAATTAATATTAACTTGACTATTCAGTCGACTGGACTATAGTCGCTATATATATATATGTATATATATAGTCACATTTTCTGATATTACTTCGTCAACGAGTGTAAGCTGTAAACATAAACAGATCATGCTTTTCTTTGTAAGTGGAAATAAAAAAGTCTTTCGGAGGCGTGGTTCTTTTCTAGCCTAAAGGGTGGAAAGTGTGATGTCTGTTTAAAATCATCATTTAGGCGGGAAAAATATGGGCCGTTTCGAGCTCAAATTTTAGCTCGGGTTTCATGTAAATGATTAACTTAGAATTTTATATCATAGTTAAAACTTCAATTAGTTTCGCTTAGACCTAATCCAAGTTACCAAGGGAACTCTTCTAGTGATTTTTCGTATGTACATTTAGAGATAGCATAGAGATAACGGAATAATGCCATCACCGAAACTTAGGGTTTACCATGAAAATAATCATAATTTAAATGTCAGGAAATAATTCGAACTCATCATAGAATATACTGGAGAAAATAGGTAACTAGAAAAATTGAAAGTACAGGGAGAAAAACACGAATTTATTCATTAACGTTTGATATTTTGTCCACAAGGACAGATATTAATCCTTACAAAACAAGTACGGATGCAGGGTTACAAACATGAATATAAACCGTTTGTACGATGTACGAACCGCTCAGCTGGGAGCACAAAACAAACTTGATAAACAAGAAAGCTTGTTAAGGTTATAAGCATACAATTTGGATATTCGATCAAATTTATGGACTTTCATCTTTTATTCTTCTTTCACTTACATCTTCTTAATCATACTCATTAACTGTGGATGACTCTTCTCATCCCCTTCTCCTACAACAGTTAAAAAAAATGGACAAGCGAACATCAGAAAATGTTATTTCAATATTTGCATCAACGTACTATTTTTTTATACATTTAAAAAAATTTTGAACTGTCCATTACCTTAAATCTTATGTTGGCTAGCTCAGTAGTGCTTTGGAGGTGGTGGAGACTTGTATTTAGGCGGAGGTGGTGGTGGAAACTTATAAACTGGAGGAGGTAGAGGAGGAGATTTGTGCTTAGGTGGCGGTGGTGGAGGAGACTTGTACTTTGGTGGGGATGGTGGGGACTTGTAAACTGGCGGCGGTGGAGGAGACTTATACTTAGGTGGTGGAGGTGGTGGTGACTTGTAACTTGGAGGTGGTGGAGGAGACTTATATTTAGGCGGAGGTGCGGGTGGGGACTTGTAGACTGGAGGAGGAGGAGACTTGTACTTTGGTGGAGGTTGCGGTGGAGACTTGTATACCGGAGAAGGAGGTGGTGGGGACTTGTACTTAGGAGGTGGTGGTGGAGGAGACTTGTATACCGGAGGTGGTGGTGGTGGCGACTTGTACTTGGGCGGTGGTGGTGGAGGAGACTTGTATTTGGGAGGAGGTGGTGGTGGAGATTTGTAAACTGGCGGTGGTGGCGGGGACTTGTACTTTGGAGGTGGTTTGTGTGCCGGAGGTCTTACCGGATGGGGGTGGCTAGGAGGTTTATATTTGTGCTTATGATAATCACCAGCTGAAGTTTGCAAAGGAAAGCATAGGGCAAGCAAAACCACTAGACAAGCAGTGATCAGAATCTAGAAGGATCGGAGTCTTCATATTCTAGGGTTTATGAAGAACGGAGAGAATGAATTTGGGAATTTTTCATTATTTTCCAGATTTGTATGAATGTATGTACATGTCTCTCAGCCACCGTATTTGTACATGTATATATACAATTAACAGCTAATGATTAGCTGTATTTAATATGTCCTATAACTGTCTTAAGTAAAGGGTCTATATAACCCTCCACTTAACTTACACATTTATATACATCAGAAGGGCAAAACTGTACAAATATCAAAGCTATACAAAAACTGAGTCGGTTGACTGAAAGCCTTCAACCGCCTTCATCCTGGATCCATTTTTACTGATTCCTCATCCCCTCCGCAAGCTGAAAAGTGAAGTTTCTTCACTCCAAGCTGGGACAGTAAGTCTGAAAACTGTGGAAAAGCCAGGGACTTTGTGAACAAGTCCGCTATTTGCTCATTAGTAGAAATATGTAAAGGCACAAGAAAACCTTTAAGATATTGCTCCCGGACAAAATGACAATCAATGTCAAGATGTTTGGTGTGCTAGTGGAAGACCGGGTTCTCTGTGATGTTAATAGCAGCCTGATTATCACACCATAACGAGATAGGAAGATGAAGAGAAACTCTGAAATCATGAAGCAGGTAGGAAATCCACAACATCTCCTTGCTAGTAGTGCTGGGACTCTTGTATTCTGCCTCAGCTGAAGAGCAGGATATACTAGTCTGTTGTTTAGATTTCCAGGAAATCAATGCTGAACCAAGGAAGATACAATATCCTGTGAGAGACCTCCTGTGAACTGGATTAGTGCCCCAATCTGAGTCTGTATACACCTCAAGTTTTATATCAGAATGAGATGAATAGAACAACCCAGTGGTAGAAGTGCCTTTTAGGTATTTCAAGGTATGAAGAAGTGCATTCCAATGTTCCATGCATGGAGCATGAACATGTTTACTAAGTTGTTGCACAACATATGAGAGATCAGGTCTAGTAAAATTCAAGTAGAGCAGCTTGCCTACCAATTTTCTGTAAAGGGAAGCATCAGCAATTGGAGGAGCACAATCTTCTCCAAATTGATGACCTTTCTGTAGTGGTGTAGCTGTCAGTTTACAACCACTCAAACCTGTCTCTTTCAAGATATCCAGAATATATTTCCTTTGATTAAGGTGCATACCTTCTGGAGATCTAGCAATCTCAATGCCAAGGAAATACTTGGCATATCCCAAATCCTTGATGGTAAACATCTGATAAAGATATTTCTTAACCTGGATGATGGCAGCTTCATTGGATCCTGTGATAAGAATATCATCCACATACACAAGAAGAGCCATAAACTGAGTTTCTGTCTGCATGATAAACAGGCAAGAATCATGCATAGATTGTGTAAAGCCATAAGACTGAATTCTAGAGGTGAATTCAGCATTCCATTGTCTAGAAGCCTGTTTCAATCCATATAAGGACTTCTTCAATCTACAAACTTGTCTAGGTTGAGCTAAAGTATAACCAGTAGGTGGTACCATGTAAACTTCTTCCTTCAAATTTCCATGAAGAAATGCATTATTGATGTCCAACTGATGAAGTGACCACTGATTTGCAGCAGTTAGAGCTAACAGAATCCTGATAGTAACTATCTTTGCTACAGGAGTGAAACTGTCATAGAAATATTCACCTTCAATCTGATTGTAGCCCTTTGCTACCAATCTTGCCTTATAACGTTCAACCGTCCCATCCGAGTGGTATTTGACTTTGTACACCCATTTGGGACCAATAGCTTTCTTTCCTGGAGGCAAAACTGTTAATTCCCAGGTGTGATTTTGTTCTAAAGCATTCAGTTCATTATTCATTGCTGCAACCCATTCTGGACAGTTTCTGGCTTGTAAGTAGTTTTTAGGTTCTGGAATACTATCAATTTGGGATAAAAAGGTCATATGATCATGTGAGAAAACTGGTTGATAGGTGTATACAGCAGGAGGATTATGATCCATACAGAAATTGGATGAGTGAGAAACAAAAGGTTTTCTTTTGACATGCTGTGAGATATAATCTTTCATCCAAACTGGATGATTGATGTTTCTAGTGTTCCTTCTGAGAGATGTTGAAACTGGTAAGTGGGAGGTAGAAATGGTGGGATTTGATGTGTCAGAAGGTATGGTGCGTGAAGAATCAGGAGTAGGCAAATTTATGGTTTGATCAGAATGCTCAGAATAATCTGAATGTAGACTTGGAATTGATTGTGTATCAGGCCAAGATTCGTCAATGAGAACATGAGGTGATACAAAGGATGGTGATGGTGATGGATCAGCCTTGGAAAAGAGTTTCATGGAAAACCACATCTCTGGAAATAATCACTTTACAGGTAGCAAGGTTCAAAAGTTTGTAGGCTTCTGACCCGGAGGATAGCCTATGAAGACACACCTGATTGCCCTAGGATCAAATTTGGCTTTATGTGGAAGTGTATTTGTTGCATAACACAAACAACCAAAAGTTCTTAAATGAGTATAGTCTGGTGGTTTAGAAAACAAAACTTCATAAGGTGTTCTACCTTTAAGAACTGTGGATGGCAACCTGTTAATTAGATATGTGGCTATTAAGATGGAATCCCCCCAGAAAAGTTTAGGTAAACCTGATTGGAAAAGAAGTACTCTAGCTACTTGGAGGATGTGTTTGTGTTTGCGTTCTACAACACCATTCTGCTGTGGTGTGTAAACACAAGATTTTTGGTGGATAATGCCTAAATCTGTGAATAGATTCTGGCAATCTTGGCTAAGAAATTCTAATCCATTGTCACTTCTGATGGTTTTTATGAACTTTTGAAACTGGTTTTGTATGAGTTTGAAAAAAGTTTTGATGACAGTGTAAAACTGTGACTTATCCCTCATAAGAAAAGTCCAGGTTGCTCTACTGAAATTGTCTACTATGGTGAGGAAATACTGAGCACCACAGAAAGTTTTTTGTCCGAAAGGACCCCAAATGTCAATATGAATGAGCTCAAAAATGTCATGAGTATGAATAACACTTGTAGGAAATGGTAAACGGTGTTGTTTTGCCAAAGGGCAGACTTCACACACAGTATCATTAGTATCAATAGGATTATACAGAGAGAGCATTCTTACAATCTTCTCAGACAGGTGGCCAAGTCTACTATGCCAAATGGCATTATTTGGACTATTTACATGATTAGCGGAATGGTAAGAAACAGTTTTCACTGTGGATACAAAAGGATGATTAACATGGTCCTTAATGAAGTGTAAGATTCTCTCCTTGGAAAATGATTGATGGTCAATGACATAGAGTTGGCTCACCACCCTTCTAACAGCCACCAATTGCCTAGTCACTTGGTCTTGTAATAGGTAAAAGGTAGTTGAGAAGAAGCAATCAATCTTAGATGATGATGCTAACTTTCTCACAGATATAAGGTTGTGTTTAAAAGATGGGATATGTAAACAGTCATGTAATGTAATATATGTTCCTAGGTTCACTTGCCCTATATTTTTAACTTGTGTAACACTGCCATCAGGTAAGTATACTAGTGTGAAGGTTGTCATTGGTTTAAAAAAGGATAAGAGTTGAAGATCTGAGGTCATGTGGCTTGTAGCACCTGAATCTATTATCCAACATAGAAGCAACAAATAGTCTAATGAATTTAATGCCTTAAAAGTAGTCATACCTGCAAATTCAGTGAAATGTGCGAAGTTGATATGATCACCATCCTGTGCCTGTCCCTTTCCTTTGATCATACGGCTCAGCTCCTGTTACATCCTCTTGATATTGTTCATCATACCTAGCAGATCACCAGCTCCTGCAATGTTTGATCTGATCTCCACATCTGTTGGAGCTTTAGCTACATGTGCAGAAATTCTCCTTTCAGCTACATGTGAATTCCTTTGTTCCTTCATCTCCTTGAACCATTCTGGATATCCAATAAGCTTGAAGCATCCTGATTTCAAATGTCCTGTCATACCACAATGATCACACTTCAAAAGTTTCTTTGTAGCCTTATCCAATATGATCTCGTTTTCTTTCCCAACACTGCTATAGCTATTTTTCTGTCCATTGCTGCTTCCTCCATTGTTAAAGATATTCTTAGCAGGTTTGTTGTAGTTGTGATTCGTTCTGTTGACCAGCCTTGCACTCTGCTCCCTATGACTTTCCAGTGAGGTATGTAACTGTTGTTGTTTCTCAACATTCAGAACCATTGAATATGCGTTCTTAACCCCTGGAAGTGGATCTGTGGCTAAGGTTTGATTCTTTATAGGCAAGTAAGACTCATTGAGGCCTGTCAAAAATTGCATCAATCTATCTCTTTCTTCCTTTCCCCCACTAGTTCGATTAACTCTGCAAACACAACCATGACAAGTGCAAACCTCTGTCAATGTTACTTAACTCATCCCATAATTTCTTCAACTTTGTGTAGTATCCTGGTAAACTCAAATTTCCTTGTGTAAACCTGCTAATTTCACGCTTCAACTGATAGATTTGAGGCGCATTACTTGTCCCAAAACTATCCTTCAAGTCTTACCACAATTCTTTAGCATCTTCTGCCATATTAAAGCCTTCAAGCAATTCACTTGAAATAGAATTCAGAATCCATGACGTCACTGTGTCATTTACTCTACACCACTGCTCAAAATCTTGATTACCTTCTGCTAGTCTGACAACAGTACCATTAATGAATCCAAGCTTGTTCTTCGAGCTCAGAGCTCTTCTCATTGAGTGACTCCAAATCACATAATTGTTCGATGTTAACTGACAGTTAATAATTGACAGATTTAGAGTATCAGACGGAAGCAAAGTTAGAGGATGCATGTATCCGCCATAATTCACAGCTGAATTCTCCCTGCGAACCTCAGAAAAGTTCGATCATTTAAGAAATCTTCATTTCTTCGCTTAATTCGAGCTTCATCAGATCT